TGCTTCCCGGGAAGCCGAGAATGTTTCGGAGTGTTCTATGGTCTGCTGGGGTAATAATATAGTGTAAAGCGCATAGAGCCTGCTGTTGAGCGGGGTTATGCGCTATACAAATGCTATCTATTATTATTATTATTATGTGTCTCCTTAGGGATGTACATCACAGAGGGAAAAGATTAAGAGAGCCTTGGGAGAAAAGAATTGGGGGAAATGGGGGAGAGTATAGTGACATACATGTGTACGTGTATGTGTGTGTGTGTGTGTTTGTGAGTGTGAGTTTGTGGGTGTATATGTGCGTGTATGTGTGTATGTATGAGTATATGCATGTGTGTATGTGTGTGTATGTATGTATGTATGTGCGTATGTATGTGTGTAGGTATGTGTGTATGTGTGAATGTACGGGCATAAATGTATGTGTGTGTGTGTGTGTGTGTGTTTGTGTGTGTGTGTGTGTGTGTGTGTGTGTGTGTGTGTGTGTGTGTGTGTGTGTGTGTGTGTATAATGTGTGCGTGTTTGTGACGATGGGTTAGGAAAGGGATGTATCCTTCTAAACCCGGTTCCCCCTGATAGGCATGACCGAAGCTCGCTTCCCAAATGATCTAAACTGTGCCGCTTTAGGTGTTAATAAAAACCAAACCCTAGCCCATTCCATCTTCTTTTCAGACATCTTCTTCTTTGTTTTCTAAAATATTCTCCTTTACAGAAGCTATTTTCGAAAATATTGCACTTCTTCGTGTGACCAAGGTCCAGTCGCAAATACACAAGAATCTGATAACCTTCTATTGTTGTGGAGGAAAGTGGTTGTCTTAGACAGAATGGGGTCCTCTTGGACAGTGTCATAATAATGATAGGAATGTACTGATGATTGTCTTGGACAGGTGGTCGTTAGAGCAGGCTCATGTATATTACTAATCTTGTTCTTATTCTCACTACTTAAAAAAAAACTTTTTCCGGGCTCTGTTTCCTTGCGGTGTCGATGTGGAGAAGCTGGCAAACGTCTTTCTCTTGTTCGTTGAGTATCGCCTGTTGCAAGATTATGTTGTTCTTGACTGATACTTCTCCGACCCCCTCTTTCCACTTTATCTGGCCTTCCCTTTTCTCTGTTTTCTCCTGATTTCTTTCTTTCTAATTGGACGAAGAAATATCAATATTATAGTGTTTAGCTTGACATCTTTTGCTTCGAGAATTTGTTCTCTTTTAACTCCACGGCTCTTCCCAAAAAAACCACATACCTTGTAAGCTCTGTTGCATACTAGCCGTGATATTATAATATACTGCCGTAGTTTTGATTAATAATAAATGGACTAGCAGAAACGTAAGTCTATATGTGTCTGTACCATCATCATCATTGCCTTTCTCACCCTGCAACAGGGTATAGGCCACGGACAAACACCTCCTACCTTTCTCTATCTTGGGCTAGCCTCTTGATGTTATTTCATGTCTTCACACTTTTCTGTACATCGATTTCTGTGATTTGTCTCCAGGTTCCACACGGTCTTCCCCTTGATCTCTTACCCTGTAGGTTCCAATCCAAAACTTTCTTTGTTATGGACCTGCCTGACTTTCTGAGAGTATGTTCAATCCATCGCCTCCGCCTTCTTCCTACCTCATCTTTGATTGGGATCTGTCTTGTTTTCCTTAACACTTCCACATTGGCGACCCTGTCTGTCCATCTGATCCTCAGTAACTTTCTTAGACACCTGTTCAAGAAAACCTGGATCGTCTTTATGCAAGTCTGTGATGCGTTGTCTGTACCATGACTAGGGTCTATACTTTTTTCAATTAAGTTTTTTTTCTCCATTTCGTCAGTTTCACGGGATGTCCTTTGATCTTTCTCGGTTGACATTCTTGTACCGTTTGACAAAACAGACAACACTTGCAAATGTATGATCGAATGAACGGATGAATGAATAAAAGAATAAATGAATGAATGGATGAATGCATAACAGAAAGAATGAATGAATGAATGAATGAATGAATGAATGAATGAATGAATGAATGAATGAATGAATGAATGAATGAATAAACCTTTATAACTCTTTTATAATTAGTACATTTTATAACCTTTCTGGTCCAGACAGAGCGGAACAATGTAATATGAAAATAAATGTGCGTTTTAAGTGTTCTATTCATTAATTTTTGTTTGCGTCATGAGCTGGAGAAAACATTTGCCTTGGTCATAGGTAAGTTCTCTCTTTAAATCTTTCTTCTTTTTAGCTTTTGCTGAAAAGAGGATGGAATGTTGTCTGCCTCAAGTACCCAGACTCTCCTCCTACCTAGCGCCCCCCCCCTTTCAAACACAAACACAGGCACACATACAAACAAACATACACATTAACACACACATACACACACGCGTGCACACATAAACACACACATACACACACGCGTGCACACATAAACACACACATACACACACGCGTGCACACATAAACACACACATACAC